TTTTTTTACGTGTGTGTGTGTATTTGTGCGTGTGTGAATGTGTGTATTTACAATTAGAAGTGTGTCTAGTGCCCTCATTCAAATCTACGCTTTAAATTCAACATATATGCGTCATGGAGAAGACCAAGCGTATCCTACTCTGCTTAATGCCAATTCATTTTTGAAATCCTCTTCTTATATTGCATATGTACGCGATTGATAGAGATATTGATATTCGTAATAAGTAACGACTGGCGTGGAGTCCTGATGCATGCCGACCTCGTGTGGCTATAGTACGAGCCTATTTATATTTTACGAGTTTTGTAATAGATATAGTCTAGTCTCTACTAGACTACAGCATGTACTCGTGATGGGTGATACTTCTGTTTCTATTTGAATTTGATATCGAATCTAAAATGTGATATGTCGAGAATGAAACCAATTAAGGGTCGTTTATGTCCACAGAAGTATTCGTTAAGCCTATAGCAGATGCTAAATATTATAATTATAATCCAATGAATTTCGTTTATTGATTATTGCCAAGAGCCATGTGTATTAATTTTCTAATATTTACAGCTACTTGCTTCAGATAAAATATTTGGAATTTGGAATACAATAGAGCTGGTTACTGTAGAATCACGGTAAGGGTGTCTTATAAAGCCAACTATAGTATAGCGCTCATTACTAGTGTGAATCTACGTACTGTTTCCGCAATCTACACTACTTTGTGCAGTGTTCAAGTACAGTGCGTGGCAACATGGCGCGTAAACATAGCGCCGAACCTGCGAAGGTTACGATGAAGCCCAAATGTACTAACAAAGTTAAGAAGAACAAAGGCAAAGAGACAAACAGTGCCATTAAACGCGGCAATAAGAGAGACAAGAAGGAATTAGCCAAGTACAATGTCTATGAGGACTCGGACGATGGCGATGGTGCAGGACCATCTAACTCAGAAAGAAAGTTCAATGATGTGGATGTGTACGAGTACAAACTGCCGGAAAATTTTGACGACGAGGAGATCGATGAGGACGAGGCCTTTGATGACGAGGACAACTTGAGATATGGTGATATGAATTTAGGGGGTAAAAAAAGGTATGAGCGGGTATATGTATGTATGTTGAATGCAGCTTTGAGGTCATATGATATGTAGTACTTATGCTGCTGCGGACTTGGGGGTGTGCCCCTATAGTTTTGGGGCGGCTTATTTGCTTCTGGAGGTGAAGTGGTGTTGTACTTCCAATTATGTTCGAACCGTTGGATTCTACGTATCAATCCGAATCTGTTTACGACCATCTTCTCTATTCGTACATGATTGTTACACAGATTGAAAGCCCTCGCTCTAAAATCTCGGTATCTTTTTGTCGAACATAGCATTCCGTAGCACTGACGGCTCGATGCACATCGGGCTTTGTCGTTGGCCACACATTATGTAGTATCCGTTGCACAGTTTGAATGCTTATGTACATGTATGGATTCTTTATGACAAAAGATACGCTCTAAAGTACAAAGGCGAATCCGTTATGTAGGAACATTGATATACTCTGCTGCGAGATCATGTATATTTCTCTGACAATTTGAATTGGAATATTCTTCCTATAGTTCTGAGAAGCACGACAGCGACTCGGACGCAGTTAGCGAAGCGTCAGAGGATGATCTTGATTTAGAGGGCGAAGATGGTATGGACATATCTGAGATGTTCAACGACGACTCCAATGCGAACAATAAAGCAGCCAAACAAGATTTTAGCGAAATTATGGCGAAATCCCGGTCAACCGCCGAACTCGAAGCGATAGCACTCGACGAGGGAGACAACAGTGACAATGAAAGGGACGAGCGTGGAGATGCCATCCGCCACAGCGGACTGTTATCGGCGATAGATAAGCTCGACAAAGGTGGCAAAGCAGCGAACAAATGGGCCAAGTTGAGTGAAATAAACGAGAGCGTGCAGGCGTCTGAGTTTGCACTCACCAGCAACCAGCGCGAGGCGGGCAGGGGCATGCTCACCATGGATGATTTGATGAAGAGTGTGGGTGAGGCTAGTGGCCTGGGGGGGCTAAAGAAACAACTGGAACATCTGGCAAAGGGCGACAGCACACTGCCTGTACCCATGGCCAAACGGGCGCTAGATCGTGTGTCTCGTAAGGTGGCCTTTGAGCAATCAGCGATGGAAGTATCGAAGTGGACTAGCGTGGTGAAACGCGACAGAGAAGCGGAACACTTGTCATTCCCAATGAATGCGCCGGAATTGGAGAAGAATTCAAACGCGGAATTGGCCAGCAAGTTTGAAGCACGCACAGATCTGGAGAAGAACATTGGTAGTGTTCTTGATGATTCAACCATGCAAGAGTTGGAAGGCGGATTCCTAAAAGGTACGGCTTTTCATCCTCGACAAAACTTTCTTGTAGTAGCAATGGGATGCAACTCAGTTCCGTATATTCACAGTTATAATTTTCTAAGTCGTACACTATTCTGGCTTGATACGTGCAATGTTTTGCTCATGTGTGTCTGTGGGAACGGGTGGTAATTGGATTCGGCGTTCGCGATCCCGATAATGACCTGTATAGTGTTTATACCATGTAGCAACATCGCATGCCCTTCTCCTTTTGAAACACCATTCTTCAATGAATTTTTGCTACAGGCGAATCGCTCGAGTTACAAAATCTCGATCCACAGGAGAAAAAAGAACGTCGCCAGGAGCTGCAAAAAATGCGTGCGTTGCTTTCTTATTACGAGAAGAAGCGTGCTCGCATCAACAAAATCAAGAGTAAAGGCTATCACAAAAAGCTGAAGCAGGAGGCAAAAAAGAAAGCTGGTGCTAATGGTAAGTGGGATATAGAACATAGTTGTATTGGGGTGTGTAATGAGAACCCCCGCTGATTACTTTGGTCATATGTTTGTGACGGCTATCGTACCAGGATATTTGCAGCTGGAATTGCCTTTGTGCGATGTGTAAGTGAAAGAGGTTAGACGACGATATATTTAATTTTTCCTGTTTCGAATGTATGGATAAGTGCGATTGCCGATAGCACGGAAAGTAGTTTGTGTATATACTATGAATGGATTTATGGTTTCTCGACAACCGAATACAGTTAAGAGATCTGGTGGCGCTACTTGCATAGTAGACCTCTTTCATTATTGTCGTACATGTGCTAGTGCGCATTTCTATAGTACAGCCACGTATGTAAGCAGCCTGTCGGTAACGCTTCAAATCAGTTTTATAGTCGTTGGGTTTTCGTTGGTCCCATGAGAACCGAATTGCTGAATGTCGACTGTTTTACTTATTTCTGCTCGAATCTCATGCGCTGGCAGATCTAATGCAAGCAGACATGGTACTAAGTCAGGAGGAACAACTCAAGGCAGAGCGAGAACGGGCACAGGAGCGTATGACGCTGCGGCACAAGAATACCTCTAAGTGGGCCAAGAACCTTCTCAGGCGCAACACCATGGATCCCACGGCCAAAGCACAGTTGGAAGAGCAGCTGAGACGCGGTAATGAATTACGCAAGAAAATCAACGATGACTCGGATGGCGACAGTGTGGACGGCAGCGGGGATGAACTCGAAGAGGACGAAATGGAGGAGGACTACGACTCCGAGAACGAGACGGAAACAGACCGACTCCTGCGACTGCAGCGTAAGATGGACCGGAAGGGGGAGGAAACCTCTGCGGAGAACACGGGTGTGATGGGAATGAAGTTCATGAAGCGAGCCATGGAACGCAAGCGCAAGGCCGCTATGCAGGAGTTGGAGGCGGCAAAGGAGGAGTTGGAACGGCTGCAAAAGGACAGTGGCGCGGAATCGAGTGACAGTGACGAGGAGGTACAACCTACGAAGAAAGGGCGAAATCAAGCGGTGAGAAAGGAGCTGAAGGATGGCGAGTCACAGATAGACGCAGTCACATTATCCAGAGGCCACACTACAAAGTCGTCGTCTGGGGTGTCGCTAGATTTGTCAGCCGTAACGAACAGTGAGGAGGGCAAGAACGGCCTCTTTGATGAGAATTGGAAAGTGAGCGCGGAAACATCAGCCGGTGTAGGCGCATTGAACGTAAACAAGCGTAAGGCGAATGTACTGGATGGGGAGCTGGATGTGGAGGCTAGACTCTCGGCCGAGAAGAAATTGGAAGCAGAGATTGCAGAAAGAAGGAAGAAGTCTAAAAAAGAGAGGATAGCCAAACAGCAACATACCGCAAGTGAAGAAAGTGCAGGCGAGAGTGATAGTAATAGCGACGGTAGTGATGAATCGACAGACGAGAGTGAGTCTGAGGGCGAGGATGCGACTGACAGCGAGGCTGAAGCCGATGCCGCCAACCCCTGGTTTGTCGCAGAAGATGAGGACACGAGTGACAAAAAGTCCGAAAAGAGCAAAACAAAGTCTAACTCGGCGAAGAACGATGAGCCCAGTAGGAGAAAGAAAACCAGAGTGACCGAAAATGTCAGCGCTGCTGAGAAAGACGGAGACGAGGAGGAGGAGACAGAGGATGAAGCGAGTGGTGAAGAAGAAGAAGATTCGCAAACCTTGAATCTAGAGGTGGCTGGCGAGAAACAACGGAAGTTGATTGAAGAAGCCTTTGCCGGAGATGATGTTGTGGATGCCTTTGAGGAGGCTAAGGAGGAGGAGATTGGCGAAGACGGTCCTAAAACGAAAGAAGTGGAACTGCCTGGCTGGGGCTCGTGGGGCGGCGATGGTGTACAGGTTTCGCAGAGAGAGCTTGCGCGAAAGGAGGAGAAAAAAGCGCTCGCCATGAAGGTAATTTCTTCAATTGTTTCCATCATGTGTGAACTACTTGGAAATGTGCTATCGCGTGTCTTAGAATTATCGATTCGGGATGATAATTTGGTTTCTCTCGTTTATATATTACAGAAAAAGAGGGATGCGGCTAAGAAACGCAAAGACAGCAATCTACCACACGTCATTATCAATGAGAAACGAGACAAGAAACAGGCGACGGCTCTGGTTAAATCCATTCCACATATGTTTGACACGCGCGAACAGTACGAACGTGCCATGAGAAATCCGGTTGGCAAAGAGTGGAACACCCCGTCAGTATTCAACAAAAACATTAAACCGGCCATTTCTATTAAGGCTGGAGCTGGTATGTTGGCCGTTTTCATTTTCCGGCAATTGATGTGTTCAAGTCCACGATGGCTCCACGCGCCTTGAATGCTTACCGTGTGTTATGGCTTTCATCTTCTTTTATGTCGATGTCTGACATGTCTATTTCTTTATTTTTATTTCCTGTTCCGTAGTAATTGCTCCCAGAAGGAAGACCAAGGAGGTGAAGATGGCGGTACCGAAGCTGAGGAAACAGAACAATCCTCGGAAGTTCAAAACGTAGGCGCGCGAGGGGTGCAGAATAAATGATGTACACAGTAAAGCATCTTGGTCTGGCAATGTCAACAATAGCTTGTGGTGATATGTATGCAGATAACCATGTCAGTCAATGTGTTTCATACTATATTCTCAAATGTGTGCATGCCGCAGCGTCGTACTGAGTGGTCTGGGACTATGGGGGCTTCTGTTTAATTTTTCGTCTGCTTACGGGAGAACTGGCTATGGGGGGCGTAGGCGGCTTCACTCTCGGTAGGCAAGGGCTTGTGATCAAAACGAACGTATGCCAACTATGAACGTGTCCTCCAATCCTTATAGCTTGCTTAATGTTCTACTGTATAGTCAGCCAAATCAATGTTTTAGCGTTGACCAGGATTAATGACTTGGCTTTCATGCCCAAGTGCCCCCTCTCACACTCTGCCCACGAGTTTAAAAATTTGGCAATTCTACAATAGCTATGTAAAGATGACTCGATATTGTGTCGGCGTGAGCTACTTCACTTTATTTAGTTGAAAGTACTTTCCTACTGGATGAAACGATAACACACACCCCATGGCGTTCGTCATCTTCAAAGGAACGCCACAGTACTATATGCTCAATTCAACATCATTTCCAGCGGTCAATATTGCATGAGGCTACGAGTTAATTGTCTTGATCGTAGAGAAGTGCAACATATTTGAGTCTCTGTGGTCGATTACGAATACGGACCTTGCTGTCCTTCTTCCGTATATGTATATGTTACTGAGAGGTACCACATAGGCCACAATAGGTTTGCTTTGCGTCTTTGTATCTACAGCCAGCATAGCCTGCTGCTATGTAGCAAACCATATCTCATTATGGAAACATACGTACTCCTGGTACAGAGAACACACTTTGATCTGCAGGGAGAAGGGAAATAGACTTGAGTACAAGTGAGAAAAATACATATTGATTTACCCTACCCAGAAATCACTTGACCAGAAGTGCAGTGTGATGCGCAAAGACTACATCGAGAAAAAAAGATTGACATGGAATGAGAACACAACAATACAAATTGCAGGCACATTCATTCTACTAATCTGAATACATATACACAACAATAAGAAGCTTGAACATATTTGGAAGACAAAGCGACAACAACATACTTTACAATACACGAGTTTTGCACTTACGATATTGGTTCATAACAACGACATTTGCCTATATATATAACATATATATATTTATATTATATATATATAAATATGTATGTATGCATGTATGTTTAATATATATAGGTATATATATATATATATATATATATAATTATAACACATATATTTATATATATATGTATGCGTGTATGTTAATATATATAGGTATATATATATATGCATGTATGTTAATATATATAGGTATATATATATATATATATATATATTTTATAACACATATATATATATGTATGCGTGTATGTTTAATATATATAGGTATATATATATATGTGTGTGTGTGTGTATACATGTATATATATATGTATGTATATATATATATATATATATGTATCGAATATATATATGTATGCATGTATATACGTCAAATGTACACATTTATACGTATACATTTACATGTACAATATATATATATATGGATCCCTGTACACGTTACCATATATACACATGCACATTTATTGAAATCACATACCGTCTCTTAATGCATGTATCTCACACGGCAAGTCTTCGAAATATTCGTGTCGCATTGCCTCCTTGGCCGATATTCGCTTTGCTGGCTCATAGACCACCATTTCACTCAATAGTCTGATTCCCTCAGATTCTAATCGGGGCACCAAATACGTGAACGGCTTCGGTGCATACATAGTCCAGATTTTACTGTACAAGGGTAGATTTTCCAATTCTGTTCGTTATGATAAGGGAATGGGGCCGACATTTATCCATTAGTTCCCGCACTATTGGGCGTCTTACAAATTGTCTTACAACAGCATCTATCAATATCGGTCTCTTACCTCGCCAACCGCCTAAAACCCAGTAGTAAAAAACCCTGAACGACAACTGTACCTGGCCACGTATCAGGCGACGGCGTCCCCAGCTTGGAGAAAACTGTAGTGAGTTGGGAGTCGTGGTCCTTTCCCGGGAACAGTGGGGTACCTGTTACTAGTTCGGCTAATATGCAGCCTGCTGACCATATGTCGAGCGACGAGTTGTAGTCGACGGAACCAAGTAAGATATCTAGGGGTCTATACCACAGTGTTACCACCTCGTGCGAGAATGACTTGATCGGCACCCCTTTGGCTCTGGCCAGCCCGAAGTCTGCTAATTTTAACTCGCCCTGTTGAGGGTGTACGAACATTTTTTAATGAATACAGGCACATGCAGGGCTCACTCTTAGTACTACAATCAAGTTAGAATGTGAAACGATCCGCACAGGTGACTGCGATTGGGTTAAGAGCAGATCCCCGCTAAAGAATTCTGCTTAGAGATTGCTCATATAGATTGAACTATGAGCGCTTAATGAAATGTAAACTAATTGAGAAAGCCACCTACATACTTACAATTTCATTCAGAAGTATATTTTGAGGCTTTATGTCTCGGTGCAAAATCCGCTTCCTTGCGCAGCATTCCAGCGCTCGTAAAAGTTGGTAAAACAGCAGTCGCACATTGGTCAGCGCCTACAACACAGGGTGGATTGTTCAAATCATCAGCGACATGTCAAGCGGATAGAGATTCAATCACAATGAGACTGGGACGGCAGTTTACTTGAAATGCATGATTGATGTCGGTTAAATGAGCGGTTTGGCCTTATTTTCGGGTGTATACAGACCTTCTGATGTCGATTTATCCAGATCTAGTTGGATGAGAGCAATGTGAACATACAATAATACACATACAGTCAGACAGGCTACCCAAACAACTCGTGCGTTCAAGCGAGACGACACAAGGAGAATATACGGAGTATACTGGAACTACACTTACCACGTATGGCGCTGCTCTGTCTATGTAGTCTTTCAGATCCATATTTAAGTATTCGAACACGAATGTCATACTCGTGTGCGTATGGACAATATCGTGCAGAATCACAATATTGACGTGTTTCAGCTCTCGTAGTAGCGAGGCTTCGCGAATAGCAGTACAGGGAGCCCCCTCTTCTGCATCTAAATTTATTTCTTTGAGAGCGCATTGTTCACCGGTGATGCTGTGGTGCTAGGCCAAGACAAGACCAAGATGAATAGGGAGAATAGCGAGTGTGCGGTGGTTGTGGGTTAGCCCCCTGTGATACGCACTTGTTTGCCAATGGACAGCTTCAGAAAGGAAGGCAGGTGGTAGAACATCGCAGGGTGGTTGTATACTCGCACAGACGAAACACGGCATACGACAGCGCAGCGAGAACGGACAAAGGCACCAATACGGATTGTCTCAACGAGTGTCAGTCATGACTAAGATCGTGCACTTCCTGTGCAGTAGGAAAGCATGAGCTAAAAAACATATGGAGAATCTCAAGTAGTTCTGATAGTACTAAAGATGTATACTGTCATGATATGTATATGTACACGTAGATATGATTCGACTATAGTATGTGTATCTAGGTCGCTTGAATGATTATGAAGTCTTCGGGAAAGAAACACACGTAACTAGATGTTCATATACACGCGTAGATACAGGTAAGTCCACACATATGACTCACATTCGCAATCTTATCAAAATGCGGACTATATGACAGCGGAATGCACTTGCTTACCAACATCAATACACATAGAAGAATCCTGCATATATACGCCCATTGCGCGAACTATCAACGCGCTAAATAATCGCGTTTTTGGGATAAATACACCATAAGAGCTCACGTGCTGTAAGCTGGATACCCATACGGTACTGTCCTTCCTCCCCCATCTACTCGGTTCAAAAACACCCGCGAATTCTCCATGCATGCATTGATAACAAACATGCATGCATATGTACAAAGCCTACAATTAAGGTCTACTGGACTTACGTGCTGACACCCCGGTAGACTTGCGCATATGTTCCTTCTCCTAATTTCTCCAGCTTCTGGTACGATTCCACCTTGCCATAGCCCAGTTGCTTGTTTGTTTGCGTACTCACAACATGCGGCATCGACTTCCTACCAATTGCACGGACAGGTATAGGCCAATTGGTTCATGAAAGGCGTCAGAACACCGCCAAGAACGAGACACAGCACATGGCAACAGTCAACAACAGCAGCCACCCGAATCCACTCGCATGCACATATCCACAGTACGAGTAAGTGACAATAGCTAAGTAAGACACATGTATTCACTCCGAGCTTACCGCCGCACTGGTTGTTCGTTACTATCCACGAAGAGCAGGTGCGCTGATTTGTGCAGCTTAGATTCCTGTGCATGCCTGTTGGGAGAGACACCTGGGCGGACATTGGAAGAGCTCTTGCTATTCATAAGTTTTATCTGTGCCTGTGGTGTCAGATGATGCGTGGACGCGATGTCTTTATCGATCGATGTACGAGCTGTGGAGTTTTGCCGACTGGTGGGTGCTTCATTGAGCCCAGTGACGCTGAATGATGTGATGGAAGCGCTGCCACGACTGCTATGACTGATACGATATGTGGTGAGGTGAAACAATGGGCCGTTCTAAATAAGTCTCAAAGGATGTGGTAGTGGTTGTTGAAACAATAGAAGCAATTTTTTACAGGTCAGACCTGAGGCATAAAACTGACAAATTGAGCACTTCGCGAAACTTCAATGATTATTGTCTCAAGCACACCTGCAAATGCAGATAGTGGACTACACATAAAAAACGGTACAACTACCATCACGTGTTTCTCACTCCAAGCGTATGTGATATACTTGTATACGCTAAATACATACGACCTATCTGCACACCTTCTGAGAGTGGCGAACTTTTTCTTGAACATTGTGTAAGCCTTTCCTTTTTCCACTGGCTTCTCCTTCTCCGTTGATTTCTCCTTCTCTGCCGGTTTATCGCTGTGCATTGCGACTCTGGAAATACTGTACAAAATTTGAACCATGAGCACTTTGTAAATACTATATATACATGTCATATGGCCATCTGTACGATATTGAATCACTGCATGTCCCTTCACATACGGATAGTAGTAAAACTTTACATACATATATATTATGTGAACAACGAGAAGTACCAGAAATACTTGAATACATAATATATATATATGTGTGTGTGTGTGTGTGTGTGTGTACACGTGTGTGTGTGTGTGTGTGTGTGTGTATTAGGGATAGCTGTGAAGCCCTGCACATACTCGCTGGGTTGGCAACACTGAGTTTCCTTCCTCCAACTAACAACCCAACAATCGCTTATTTAGCAGTGGAGCAACAGATTGATTTCGTATTCTGAATATATTAAGTAGCCGGATTTGCAAACTGATTGATCAACCAGGAGAAGTAGTAATACTATCATACAATGCAAGCTGCAACCGAGTGAAACATACATACCAATCAAGTTTGTAGAATGCGTGGTTGCAAGGTTGAACCAAGATTGTGTTGGCCAGGAACACGCCAGTGAACTCGCGAACTGACAACCGTATAGGCTGATGTAGGTGATCAGAACAATGTGTAGGATGGATGCTTGACAATGCACAACTGGATTAAAGCTTATACGTTCCCCCTTCCCCTTAAACAGCCGTATCATTTATGCCTAACATAAACTCTATATTGTCGAATTAATATAAAGCACATCTTTATCTCGAACATCATTTATTTTATCCCAGAGTGGATCGGAATGTGGAGAAGAAAAAATATGTACATACATACAATTAGGGGCAAAGACCCAATTCAAACACTGTCATTTTGCCGAGAAACACTACACTTTTTAGGAGTATATATGTAATAATAACGCGATATAATTTTAAAGTAGTATCAGGGGAGTCGTCGGTCGGGTGTATGCCTGCACACTACAATCGAATGTAGTGAATGAATGCACAACTCCCTCTCTTAGTATAAGGCCACAGTTTCCACTGCACACACTCACTCACTCACTCACTCACTCACTCACACACACACACGCGCACGCAGACATGGAAGCCATGGAGATCATAGACGATCCCCCCATGTCGCGAACATCTAGTCGGAAACGGGCCAAAGACAAGTTCAAACGTGCCGTAACTAAACTCTCGGATCGTGCTGAACGTACCGAGTCGTACTCAGAGAGTGATACAGTGTCCACGCTGAGTTCACTATCTAGCACCCTCGCCGCCACTAGAGTGAACTCGAATTCGCGACGCTTTCATAGAAGGAAGCTCACGTCCGCATTCGGTGCGGCTGGTAGGTTTTCGATGAACGGCGAGAATCAGGGCCATGCACGCCCGTCATTCTTCAATCGCGGTATAGGGCAGGGCTATGCAGCCTCAGAGATAGATGAACCACAAGTAGTTACACAGAGGACCTTGAATGTGGACCCGGATATCATAGCCGTGCGAGAGGCGATTATAGCGCTGTTTCAGAAACAGGCCAGACCGGAGCAACACATGAACATCAACAATTCATCGTCGTTGACGGGAAATGCGTCGTCTGGGCTCAAGGTACATCCCGTGGAGGATGAGATGCGCCGTGCAAGCAGTGGGGCCAAGGTGCTAGCAACTACGAATGCACTAGATAATGTGGCAGCGATGAACGAACGATTGACGCGATTAGAGGGCAAATACGACCTGGTGTGTCTGGTGGAGTGTTTGCACCAGATGTTTATGCGAGGAATGATTGTTCTCAGACAGCAGCTGAAAGACACGTCGGGGCTGGAGTTTATTCTGTCCTTTAGGTCCATCTGGGTGTGGTTCTACACGCACACGTTGAACGATATAGCGGCCATGTTCTGCACATCTCAGAATATCATCAGTCCATACATACGGCCCATGGCTCTGTCTGAATTCCGCGACCATATCCTGGTCAATCGCCACATAAGGCCACAGTTGGAGGAGCAGATCAAAACGGGGCCAGATTTCATCCCGGGAGAAGTGTCCCAGATGCTGCTCATTCTTTTATCCCGGACCTATCTAGAACCCGCAGAATCACGGGCGGCTGTGCGTGAGCTGCTACGTCTTTTGGTGGAGAATGTGGACGAGGGGGGTGTGGATGAGCTCGAATTGGCTATACATGCAACAAATGCATTGGAACTACACAGTCCAGGCAGTGATGTATCGCGGCAGTCCAGCGGGCTGGCAGGCTCTGGGACATCGCCTGCGCAACGGGTGAATTCGGGGGTAGCGGATCGCGATCTGAATACGGGCACATTGGCTGATGGTAATCCGGATGCGTGGGTGTTTACGTTCAGCGATCGCGACGAAGATAGGGTGCCGCTGGAGACCGAGTCGTGTGCGGAAAGTTTGGTACAAGGCGACGGGTTTTCGAATGTCCCGGAGGACGTGATTATGATACTTCAGCGGGATGGTCCCACCGCAGAGAACAAGCGCAAGGACCTCCAAGATGCTGATTTAAAACTAGCCAGTCTCGTACTCAACGGGAACATGGCGGTGGAACGAACCATGTCTACACCGGTACAGTCTCCTAGAAAGCTCACGCCTGCCTTCCCCTTCCCGTCCACAAACAGTAAGTCCCCCCCGGTCATTGGGGCTGGGTATATCAAGCCCAGTGTGTTTCCGCAGCGGCAGTGTTCACATAAGGGCACGAGAGATACAGCCACAGGTCTGGCTATACAGCGGGCATTGTCTGCCAACATCGCATCCTCTCAGATCCACAGCTGCGAAGGAGGGGAGGGTGTCACCACGTCGCACCTGCCCTCGTTAAAGTCGGTGCAGGGCCCAATTGGTCCTGTCAATCTTCGCAGGGGGCACATAGAGCCGGCAGATGCGCACAGGAATTTTGTCGATCTGGACAAGATGAACCGGAGTAGATCTAATTCCGTGTTGGAGGCAGGCACTCGGTTTCTGCGGCTGAGGAAGGGGTCTGCCAGTTCCAAGTCGAGCAGTGAGAAGGTCAAGGCCACAAGGGAAGTGTCTCTGGAAGATCCGAGGAACACACGGGAGGGATCCCGTTTCTGTAGTGCTACCACGAGTGCTTTCCAGCGAAGCAACACCACTAAGAACAACTTGAGTGAAAACGATATGCTGAGCTACGATAGGGTGGACAGGAATGGCCGTCAGGCGCCGCGGGGGAGCGATAGTGATGTGTTGTGCGAAGCGAAAAACGAGGATATCGTCGGCGATCTCATGGGAAATATAAACGGCCGAAGGAGTATTGAAACTCTGGAAAAGTATAGGCAGCCTACACTCGCGGACGTACTGGGCAAAAAGGGTAAGTCTGAGGAGGGAACCGAAGGACAAGGTGCGTTTAGGGCGTCATTCACCTCCGCTGTCACACAAACTGATGACCCTGGCCATGTGGGAAAAGCTATGCTTGCGGAGGAGTGTGTCAGCACGTAGGCATGAGAAGCTGACGCCATCACTAGCTGCATTCTTCTGGTCGAGGATGGCGGGATACAGTCTAATAGGATCAAACCACCTCTAATACTACGAATAATGACAATTAAAACTGAAAGGCAGCGTACTCGAGAATCGCGTACTTTGGCTACTTGAGGTAACCCTACATCTACTACTGCTGCAATGTGCGGCCAGTAGTTGGGCAAACTCTCACTGGGAATAAACCCTACACATTTTTGAGTCTGCCATTGTTTCATTGGGAACTCGGCGTCGACACGTTGATCAGATGAAAGATGAATATCTGGGTATTGGCAGTCTTCAATATGCTCTGAATGAGTCAGTACAGGCAAGTAGCGATGTCCACTGAAAATGAATCGAATGAAAGTGACCGTACAGCGATAGCCTTGGTTGTCAGGGATATGTCGGTACAAGCTTTTTATGTGAAGCTGACAACAGTACAATCAATCTACATCGCAGCCGAGGGTAGCGAATCAGGGCCCAGTAAATACAAAGATAATAACAACGATACGATTATACGCAGAACGTAGTAAATACAAAGATAATAACACGACAATGCAACAAGATATATATATATATATACGGGTGTGGGTGTGTATGTGGGGTGTGTTTGTGTACGTGTATGTGTATGTATATAGATATGTATTATTACTATTCTATACGAAATTTCCTTTGTTTATTTTTTTCTCATGAAGCACCAAATGTGCCTGTTTTAACTTTCGTTTGGAAACTCAGCGACGGCTCTGCATCTGAATGTCACAGCATGCATTACAAATATCTGGGCAAGCGAGTGCGACGAAAATTGATCGTCCGATCCGATCTCGGAGAGGTATAGTTGGACAGTAGGCAGATAAGAGTCTAGTGTGCCAGCCCCAATGCAAATTGATGACTGAATTTTGATTATATACAAAGCCAGCCGCCTTCAGCTCGTTCCATGATCATCGGTCTCTATTTATGTCTAGAACAGCTTTCAGCTTTGCACGAAATAGGTATCGCATCAATAACGACAACAACCTGAGGTGCCTGTAGTCGGATTATTTTTTTGGGATTAAATCCCGACCAGCAATGTCAACGGAAGTACTCGCTAGATCCGACTTCAGATTGGCTCAACCAAGTTTGGATTCTTGCAGAGCTTTAATAAATATGTACGATTGCAACCAGAAAAGTAGGCACAAACTGAGCGATATTTTATTTAATGTCCAGAGATAGCAATTTGCATCCATTCAACACTAAGTTATCTAGCACTAGCTTGCACTTAACGTCCACAATCAGTACTTTGCGTTGATCTAGCGTCCATGGAATGGATGTCCGTGCCCACCAAACCCTTGCCCGTGGCTGTGACCTCGCGATTGCCTCTGGCCACCAAAGTCGAAACCCCCGTGTTCGAACCCACCTCCACCGGATCCACCTCCACCCATGCCGCCTTGTTGGAACATTCTGAGGCAGGAGTTAAGTGGAATATACTTAGTACGTATACATATACATATACATACACATTTGCATATATATAAATATATTATGTACTATATATATATATATGTGTGTGTGTGTGTGTGTGTGTATGTATATGTATGTATATGTATGTATATGTATTATGATATGTATATATATACATATATATATATATATATATATATATATATATATATATATATATATATATATATATATATATATATATATATATATATATATATATATATATATATATATATATATATATATATATATATATATATATATATATATATATATATATATATATACTACTATATATATACATATAGATATGATTATATA